TGAACAATAGAATGTATGTACAAAGTCATCATAAAATGGAAGAAGTGCAGTTTGGAAAGTTTTAGCAGTCTCTAAATTTGACCGGATCTCTAATCACATAAGAAAACAAAGTCCTCTCTAAAACTACCACATTCTACTGTAGTCATGTTGTATCAAATTGAAGCATTTTAATTTAACTATAAGCCATTATTTGAAATGTAGGACTGTGGCTGTCATATGGATGAAGGCTGTAAAGAAAAGCAAACTTCTAAGGAGAAATTTAATAGTAAACACTTTATGTGGAAATGCCATGCTCTGGATTTTGTCACCGAGTATTTGCAAATCACACCAAGCATATACAGATAACTAAGGTGGTGAATATGTAAGCAACATGATAAAAATACTGTGTCATTTGTACTGAAATGGGCACTGCAGCCAGACATAAAAGTACAGTTGCAAATAAACCAAGTGAGACAGGCCACAGAAAAACAGATGAGCAAGTGTTCTAGTCTTCCAGCTAGTCTGTTTTTCACATGTCATAGTCTCACTCTTTTTAAAAAATAAATTTCTACAGTTCTCCAATAAATGTTACTGCTGGGAAAAGATACTCATTTTTTAAATACCTTTACCACTTAGAGGGTAATAGCCACTTTAAATGGGGGTTTTATTTTCTCAAGTTTTTCTGATATTTGAGTTGACATTTTTTCCCTTTGAATCATACTCTCTTTCTTGTATTAATTTTTTGGTAGCTTACAGTATTCATGCCATAAATAAGTTTTTAGTTTTGCTAGTTTATGTAAAATCTTATGATGTCAGAACTGATGGGGGCTTTCACTATTATCTAATTCAAATTTCTTATTTTGTAGATTAGGAAACTGAATATCCAAAAATATAATTTCCTCTAGTAAAATAATGATAGAGCCAAGATCACAACTCATATTTTTGAGGCACTCAGCCTTAACATTTAGAAATTCTTTCAAGGTGTATTTATCTTTTATTTTTACTTTAGAAGTAAGTAGTTCTCAAAAATGTTCTGTTTTTGGTGAAATGTGCTTCATATTGAAAGACCCTATCACCATCAATAAAGTGAGCTCCAGAGACACTTCCTTTCCTCCTCTACTCTATACTTTCTGGCCCTGCAATCTTCATTTGTGAAGATGCAGCTTTCATAACCCGGTGGGAATGCAGACTGGTGCAGCCACTGTGGAAAACTGTAGATTCCGCAGAAAAATAAAAATGGAACTGCCTTCTGACACAGCAATACCACTGCTGTGATTATACTCTAATGATCCTGAAACACCAATCCAAAAGAATCTATGCATCCCAGTGTTCATAGCAGCACAATTTACAATAGCCAAGTGCTGTTAACAACCTATGTTCCCATCCATAAATGAGGGGATCAAAAACCTGTGGTACATTTACACAAAGGAATGCTACACAAAAGAAAGAAAGAAGGAGCTCCTACCCTTCAGGACAGCATGGATGGAACTGGAGAGCATTAAGCTAAGTGAAATAAGCCAGGTAATGAAAGAGAAATAACATATGACCTTACCTATAAGTGAAGCCTAATCAACAAAACAAACAAGCGAGTAAAATAGAACCTGATACATGGAAATGAAGAATAAACTGACAGTAGCATGACTGTAGGGGAATAATGGGGGAAAGCAGGGGAAGGGTTGTCAAGGAACATGTATAAAGGACCCAGGGGCAAAGACAACTGGGTGGGGGAGAGGATTGAGGGTGGAAGGTGCTGGTGGGTAGGGTGGGGGAAGGTAATGGTGGGAAAATAAGAACTGTAATTACACAACAATAAAAAAATAAAAAATATTAAAACAATTACAGAGTTGCCCATAAGAGGCTGAATTATCATGCAGGTGTACATCATATCAGAAATTACCAATAGAAGAGTTGGTAATTCCAAGTCTTTGCTAAAGTGACTTTCTGTATTTCAGTTTAGAAATCTAAGCTTTTTAAATTAAATTTATTGGGGCAACATTGGTTAATGAGATTATGTAGGTTTCACATGTACAATTCTATGACATTACATCTGTATATTGCTCTGTGTGCCCATTGCCACCGTCAAATCTTCTCTCTCCACATATTTGACCCCTTTTACCTTTAACTATTCCCCCAACTCCACTTCCTTCTGGTAACCACCATACTGTTTTCTGTGTCTATTAGTTTTAATTCCAAAAGAGTAATTGTCTTCTGAATGTTTAGAAATTTTCTGAAAATTTTCTGTGACACAAAATCCTCATAAGCCAAACCTGGCATTTTTGGATGGACTCATTTGGTATTTTTGTGAAAGAACAAATTATCTAAATAGCATTTTATTCTGGAATTCTTAATTTTTCTTGTCTATGTTTATTTTGCAAGGTTTTTCCCCTTCCCAGAGAATAGGTACAATGTTTTATTTGGGGAGCATAACTCTGATTTGAATCACTGTTCTGATGTTTATCGGCCCTGTAAAAGTTCCTATGAATTTTTGTTTCATTCTTTAATAGGAGGAAAAATCATATTTACTTAAAGAGACAAGTCTTAGATGGATAGGTAAAACATTTCCCATACTTTAAAACACCATTCAAATGATAAAAGTGAACATTGGTTTATGGAATTATTATTTTGTGCATAATAAATTAAATCAAGAAAATAGCTTACAGAAAAGAATTAATTATTACTGGTTGTTTTCTGTGTTTTTTCATATGATTTACAATCACTTCTCTAACTTTTACAACTGTTATTTGTGATAATAATTGTCTTGACCCAGAATATCCATTTAATTATATCCATTTTATTATTTTACCTGGGAATTCTTACTGAATTACTACAAATGTTGTGAGCAAACCTATCTTTTATATTGATATAGCACTTGGTATGTTTATAAAAGATTAACTCATACATGTTTACCTTTCTACCTGTTGTCTGAATCCTACAGGCTGAAGATGGTATATTATATTAATCCAAATGGCTAGCATGTGCCTGCAACTTAGTTGCATACTTAGTTTAATAATAGAAAACAGTGTGGTAACTGTGGTAATAAGGGGACAAAGTGGGTATGGAAAAAATACAATATTCACAATCATATGAGAATTAGGAAGAAATTGTGTGCAATATTCTGATTCTGCTTATGTGAAGCTGTTAATGTCTACATGCAGATATTAAGGAAAAATACTGCATGAAAATACTTATTATTTATATGGTATCATCTTAGAGTGTTCAATGTATAGTATTGTTATTGGTTTTCTTTGTTTTGTACATGGTCTTGATTTGAGAAGTATACATGAGTGTTTCCTGGGTATAGAATAGTCAGTGTTTGGGATAGTTTAACACCTCCTAGAAATGTAGACTGTGGTTACTAGTATAAATTCTTTCAAATAGACCTGAGGGAATAATAGCAGTACACAGGTAAAACTGAAATGATGATCAATGCATGATTCACAATACAAGTTGGGGCTAGAAGGAATTGTATTAGAGAGAGTTTTGATGACCATCATAATTCTATTCCCAGTAACCTTTTTTTTTTACTCAGGAATTAATGTGATTTTTATAATATATAAGATAATGACCAAGAAAGAAAATAAAAGTGAAAACTAAGATGGCCAACAAGGTTTATCAAATGCTTGTGACTCAAAGGTTAAAATGAACATTTACAATTATTGTGCAATTGACCACAATTCCACTAGAAGAGTCAGAAAAACTGACATTTTTGGTCAACATTACCTGTCCTATAGACCACTTATACCTAAATTGTTTCACTTATCAAATAAAATTTTAATGATATTCTTTCTTCCTTTTAGAATATCAGAAAACATAGGGCAAGAATCACTCTTTTTCATTATTATGTCTCCAAGAACTACTAAAGTCATTTAGCAGTTCTAATATTTAACATAAACTTCTTATAATTATTACTAGTGAAAACCAGTGTAAAAAATGAAAGGAATCCTATTAATCTGGATTTTGAAGTTAAAGAAAAGTAAATGCCATCTTGAAAGTCACAATCTCTGTGACAATGAACTCTCAACCTCAATTTCCTTATGTTCATTCACCTATAAATTAGAAATAATAATGCTCACTTTGTAAGAGGTTTTATAAAAAGTAAACATTTCATATAATTTTCATAATAAAAATAGAGTGTGTAGAATATTATCAACAGCTGTTATTTTTCTTCCTTACTTCCCAAATCCCTAAAGTCAGTTCTAGATGCTCCAGTTAAAGCTCAGTTCTCCAGAAAGTTGAACTGTTACCAGTTTATTATAGTTTTATGCATTTCACTTGATGTATTTTACATTGTCTGTTCTCTAACTATATTTTAACTTTTGGAGGCAGGTAATCTAACTAAAGAAAAATACCTCTGACTAAAAATGAATAATAATTGTAGATACCTCATAAAGTTATTTGCAGGGTTCAATGAACCATTACAAAGCAAACAATAGTGCTGACATATAGTAATTGCTGAAAGAACTTTATTTTATTTTCTACTCTTCCTCCTCTTCCCTCTTCTCCTTCTTATTATAATTATTACTAATAGCATAAATAACTTTAATATATATGCATATAAAACCATTTAATATATTTATGTAGATGTTTAGATTTTGTTCTCAACCCCCTGGTGATGGTGACTATTTGATTTCATTCAAATGCCAAATAAAATCAAAATTTTCTAATAACATTCATTTTTAATTAGCTGATAAGAAGGAAAAGTTCAGAATTTCAAATCTATCCTGACGTCTTTCCATCAAACTAAATGCTTTATCTCTCTTCAAAAGTAAATGCCTTCTACTCAAAATCGTAACCATTAAGTCAAATGTTTTTACTTCATCCAAGTACATTTGAACAAAATATTTGAATTTACAGAATATTCTGAAGCAATGCTCAGGCAATATTCTGGAGCAACATTTAGGAATTTTAATATGAGAATAAAAAAGGAAAAATAATTGTAATGAAGGAAAGAATGGTTTGAGAGAGTAGGAATAATAGAAAGCACTGATAAGAATTTTATTCTTTTAATGTTACTGGTACTTTCATTTACCAGAGAAAAAAATAACCTTTTGAAAAGCTTCCTTAAAGGCTTGCTTCACTTGCTGGTTCCTCAAGGTATATATAAATGGATTCATCATAGGAGCAACAGAAGTGTTCAGAATAGCTACTCCTTTGGTCAAAGATGCCTTTTCTTTTGCTGAAGGGTTGGCATACATGAATATGCAGCTTCCATAAGAGATGGAAATAACAATCATGTGAGAGGAGCATGTAGAAAATGCCTTTTTTCTCTGGCTGGCAGAAGGCAGTTTTAGAATTGTCCTAATGATGAGCATGTAGGATAGAATTATTAATGCCAAGGTGGACAGCAGAATCACTATTGCAGAGTAAAAACCAATCACTTCCAGGAGCCAGGTGTCTGAGCAGGATAATTGCAAGAGGGGGAAATAGTCACAGGCAAAATGATCAATGACATTGGAGCCACAGTAATCTAATTGGAGAAAAAGAACAACTGGTGGGAAGATACTTAAGAATCCTGCCAGCCAAGCACAGAGGACAAGCGATATGCAGACTCTGTTGTTCATGATGACAGTGTAGTGCAGAGGTTTGCAGATGGCCACATAGCGGTCATAGGACATGGCAGTTAGAAGATAAAATTCAGTTACACCCATGAAGATGAAGAAAAACAATTGAATTATGCAATTATTGTATGAAATCGTTTTGTCTCTGGTGATAATTGTGCCCAAAAATCTGGGAATACAGACGGTTGTAAAGGATATTTCTAATACAGAGAAGTTCCTGAGGAAGAAATACATAGGGGTCCATAGATGAGAATTCACCAAGGTGAGAGTGATGATGGCCAAATTTCCAGAGACACTTAATATATATGTGATGATTAAAAAGAGAAAAATCACAGTCTGAAGCTCTGGATCGTCTGATAGTCCTAGAAGAATGAATTCTGTGGGTACTGTGTGGTTTCTCATTGCTTATCCTTCCCCCGCTGTAGAACGGAAAATACATGTTTCCCCTACAGAACATAAAACAGTTAAAACAAAATTGATGATAGAACATAAAATTTTTAAAATTTCTATGATGATAAATAATCTATGAAATTCTAAACACAGTTCCCCTCAGCCACTCTCTCCAAATTCCATTTGACCTTACAATCAAGTAATGAATATTAGCTGAAGTTAAGTATAACCTTTTCTTTGAACATACATATACCATGAAAAAGAGCTTGTGCTAACATTTAAACAAAAGCTATTTCTTCTTCTGTTTCTTTAAATTAACCTTGCAATTATCCTTTAAAATATTTATCTCCTTTTAAAAATATGAAAATATTATAATTGATCTTTTTCTTTTTCTCAGTGTTATAAAAATAGTCTAAATTGTGGACAAACTAAATAACAGAATTTCAAAGTTTACAGAGGTTGGTTTGGCCAAACACCACATTTTATATTTTGAGGATTACATAGTTTAAGAGACTTTTACAAAGTGAAACAACTAGTCAACATAGTATTCATCTCACCCTAGAGCATACCTGGTTATCCATGGGAATGCTTTGCTGGCATTGTCTTCTACATTACTTTTTTAAGGGTTTGGTTGGTGCTATTAGTCTCTCCACAACATTTTTTCCCTTTCCTGACAGAAAGATCAGAATAAGAAAGGGAAAGTTCTGTTATTAAAATAAATAATCACCTAGAAACAGTTTAATTTATACAATGTACGATTCATTTGTTTTGTTTTAATTATTGCTATAACCTAGAAACAAGTGGACAAAATAATACATACTGAGGAAATAATCCTATTAGAATCTTATTTCTATAGTAGAATACCATTGAACTTAGAAAAATATAACTGAACAATCCAAAACTTTTTCTTGCTTTAGGATTCCATTAGTAGTTTTCTTGGTAGTAGACAATTATTTAACTTTTAATATTGAAATGGATATAAATCCACAAGTATATATGCATATAATATTTTAAAGCATTTGAATAAAATGGAATATTATATTGAAGAATAACAAATTTACTTACACTTGCTTCTTCTTGATGATTTAGCCTCAAATTTAATTGTCTAATTGGCTTAAACATTTACATAATTTCAGAGCTGATAAACTGAGTTAGAAATTTATTTGATTTTCATTGTACTATCAAAATGTGTTGATTTAACTTTCTCATGGTAACATAGTTCTCTTTCTTTTTAGACTAGTAATATTTGATAATATCCTTTATTCCTGGTATTATAAAATTTTTGGAAAATGTTATTATACAGCTCATTCCTGCTTTTTTTTCCTTATCCAAGATCTATGCACTAACTCAGTTAGGCGTGGTTGGACAAGGAAATAAAACACATTTGTTAAAGATTTTCTTTGTATTTATACAAATATTATAAATGAATATTTTATAATTCTATGATTATACACCTATAAAATTTAAGTAATGTTTTTCTAAAATTTCAGAGACTGTAATATTTTCCTGCAAGTACTGTTTTCAAAAATAGAAAATAAAAATGTTCTTCTCTATATATGTCATACAGGTAGAGCTGGACTTATTTTATGCATCTTTTTTGTTGGCTCAGGGGAGTTCATTAAGTAAACAGTGTGCCAAAGAAAGCCATCATTAAAAGATATGGTGAATCATGTTTATAAATATTGATAAAAGTTAAACAAAATGATTGAGGTAAATGGGGCAAATAGATAAACAAGATGTGATGTCAAGTGTGTGAAGTTTGATTTGGAATATAACTCTTCTATGATTGTAGAAGGAGTCTATTTTTCTCATAGAGAATTCTGGACTTAACCTCAACAGTTCTTTACTATGCCAGAATGAATTGATAGGAAACACTGTTTTGAATTTCTAGTATTACTTGTCTTCTGAAATGGAAAAAATATTGAAAACCAATAAGGAGTTTATCTCAATATTGACTCTGAATTCAGGGAAACCTTTCCCATGGCCTATGACTAATACTATAGCAATATTTGCTATGAGTTGCTGACTATATTCCTTAACCATATCATTTACTTTCATTAAATCATAACATTAAATTTTTTTGCCTATATTTGTCATATGACATCTCATTGTGAGAATATTTATAAACCAAGAATATAAATACTTGGAAATCAGGCATTCAGTATTTTTAACTTCTTTATTTTCACATTTTCTGCATTGAAAGATACAAATTTTATAACTAGAATATAATATTAATTTACTATATATATACATATAATATAAACTTTCCATTTAGCAATTTAGCCATAATTTCTTCACATTATAAATATGAACCAGGATGTGCCAGAATGAAAATTATTTATAGAACTGAAAGATGGGCATATAGGAAATTGGAACAGAAGAGAAAAATAAGAAAGGATGAACAAAGCTCTAGTTGATACATAAGACAATATACGTAGATGTCAAGATGTGTTGACTTTATAATTGATACACATTAAAATAGTCAATAAAAGTATTTATTCAACATGTTACACTAGAAATAATGAAATTAATGTTCTACTAATAAACATTGTACTCACTGGTCTTTATTTTATATACAAATAGTAAAACTATTTATATTTTGTATCTTAAACTCTTTAACAATAATACATGTAGCAATAATTTTTAAAGAATATTTTATTGATTATGCTATTACAGTTGTCCCAATTTTTCTCCCTTGTGCCCCCCCCCCATCCAGTACCCTCCTTCCCACCAGCACTTCTCCTCTTAGTTCATGTCCATGGGTGGTGCATATAAGTTCTTTGGCTTCCCCATTGCCTGTACTGTTCTTAACATTCCCCTGTCTGTTTTGTACCTACCCAGTCATGCTTCTAAATTTCTTTACTTATCCCTTATACTCTCCCTTGCCTTTCCCAGGTGATAACCCTCCAAATGATCTCCACATCTATGATTCTATTCCTGTTTTAGGTGTTCACTTAGATTGTTTTTGCACTTTTTTTTTAAAGATTCAGTTGTTCATACTTGTGAGCTTGCTATCATTTTAATGTTCATAGTTTTGATCATTTTCTTTTTGTTAAATAAGTCCCTTTATTTTTTATTTCCTTTTTAATTGTTTTAATTTTTTAAATTGTTGCTCAAGTACAGTTGTCTCCATTTTGTTCCATCCAACATGCCCCATCCTTGCCTCCCACCCTCTAACCTACCCCCCTTGACTTTGTCCCTGTGTCCTTAATACACATTCCTTGATGACCTTTCCCCTTTTTTCCTCTGTTGTGCCCCTCCTAACTCCCCTCTGTTTACTGTCAGCTTGTTCTTTATTTCAATGTCTCCAGTTATATTTTGCTTGCTTGTTTCTTTTGTTGATTAGGTTCCACTTATAGGTGATATCATATGGTATTTGTCTTTCACTGCCTGGCTTATTTCACTTAACATAATGCTCTCCAGATCCATCCATGCTGTCACGAAGGGCAGAAGCTCCTTCCTTCTTTCTGCTGTGTAGTATTCCATTGTGTAAATGTAATGTAGTTTTTTAAAAATATAGTTTATTGATTATGCTATTACAGTTGTCCCATTCCCCCCCTTCACTCCTTTCCACCCTGCATACCCTCTTCCACTCACATTCCCCTCCCTTTAGTTCATGTCCATGTGTCATATTTATAAGTTCTTTAGCTTCTACATTTCCTATACTATTCTTGCCCTCCCCTTATCTATTTTCTACCTACCATCTATGCTACTTATTCTCTGTACTTTTTCCCCCTCTCTTTTCCTCCCACTCCCCTGTTGCTAACCCTCCATGTGATCTCCATTCCTGTGGTTCTGTTTCTGTTCTAGTTGTTTGCTTAGTTTGTTTTCCTTTTTGTTTTAGGTGTGGTTAATTATTGTGAGTTTGCTCTCATTTTACTGTACATGTTTTTTGTCTTCTTTTTCTTAGATAAGTCCCTTTAAAATTTCATAAAATAAAGGCTTGGTGATGATGAACTCCCTTAAGTTGACGTTATCTGAGCAGCACTTTATCTACCCTTCCATTCTAAATAAAAGCTTTGCTGGATAGAGCAATCTGGGATGTAGGTCCTTGCATTTCATGACTTGGAATACTTCTTTCCAGCCCCTTCTTGCCTGTAACATCTCTTTTGAGAAATCAGCTGACAGTCTGATGGGAACTCCTTTTTAGGTAACTGCCTCCTTATCTCTTGCTGCTTCTAGGATTCTGTCCTTCATTTTAATCTTGGGTATTGTAATTATGATGTGCCTTGGTGTGTTCCTCCTTGGGTCCAACTTCTTTGGGACTCTCTGAGCTTCCTGGACTTCCTGGAAGTCTAATTCTGTTACAGAACAGAGCAGGGGGATTGCTGAATGATATAAAAGACCCCCGTTTTTTCTCCAGGGGTTCCTCCCCACCTACTGGGGTTTTTTTTTTTTTTGCCTGCCACCTGAGGAAAGATATCTCTTAACACCAGAGATCAGTGAAAAGGAAAGGAGTTTATTATTTATCTGAAATAATACAAACTATAGTTCCCCACAAATGCACACGGTCCTCCTGGCACCCTCCACGTGGCAAAAGGGAGCACTTCCAAAGCCTCGTGGTCCTGACTCTCACCCAAGCTGCATGGTCCCAACCAAGACACCAAAGCCGCATGGTCCTCAAAAGACACGTGGTACCAAAAAGAGAGACGCCCAATGGCTGCGGTGCCTCCATTTAAATCCCAGCACCAATCTTACTCTGCAGTTTCATTTCTGGCTCCTCTCACAATTGGCTACAGCTGCCAGCATTCTGGGCAGGTGTGGCCCTGTGGTGTGGAGCCAATTGCCTCTAAGCTCTTCTGGACCCTATTACAAATCTCTATTTGGGGCTCCCCTCTTGGCTGCACCCTGTTACATTTCCTTTGCCAAAGTGGGGAAGTTCTCCTTTATTATGTGTTCAAATAACTTTTCCACTTGTTGCTCTTCCTCTTCTCCTTCTGGTACCCCTATAAGTCGGGTGTTGGAACATTTAAAGATGTCCTGGAGGTTCCTAAGCCTTTCCTTGTTTTTTT